GGAAATGAACTCTCGCGATCGGTTAAATAAAAATTCTCGAAGGAGCCTGAAAATTCGAGCGAGCAAAGAGTGGTGTAACCCCTTGAATAAACAAACGACAGTCTCCGAGAGCGCGCACGCCAAGACAAGGGAATCAACGAACCAACAAAGACTCGTTTCGTATCGCTTACCACGCGCCCAGCGACGATTATCGAACAAAGTGAGCAAAGAGAGAGAAGTCGAGCGTATTAAAAACGTTTCGATAGAAGAAACGTATCGTTCGGCACTTTGCGTTCGCTCGGCGTACAAAACGACGGCGAACAAAAACGGTGAAACGAAATGAAAAGGACTAGCGAGAGCGAAACGATCGCTCTTTGATGGTAACAATTGATCGCGAGCACACGCAACCGTTTAAGCTCGCCCGGTGTTCCAGCGTTATTGTTGCATCGCGTGACGTTAAAGTGTAGCATTGTTTCGTATCGGAAGTCAAGTGGCCGGCCACAAAACGCCACGGCAGCCAGCAATGGCGGACCGTGCAACCGGGAACCTGCTCTCCTTGCTCGAGTGTCTCTCGAGAAACCAGAAAGGCACGCGTACAGCCGAATGTTTAAGAGTTTCTTTGTCGCGTTTCCTTTCGACCTCTCGCCATTTCCCTTCGTTACTCCTTTTCGCGATCGTAAACGCGGTGGGCCTTCACCGTTTACTCGAGGACCAACCTTTGGGCCGCCATCGAGGGCTGGTGTATTTCTCGTTGCCCCCTTCCTGGACCCTGCATACGCAAACAACCGATGTGATTCATCTTCTGGAAGCTGCTACTTGAAAGTGACGGAGAAAATCGTGGTGAAAATTGTACAAGTTATGGGGGAACTAAAGGAGAAGACTAACTTCATCTTATACACCACGACTTCCTGCTTCCATTTTTCACATTTTTTAACAAATTCTTTCATACAAAATCTTCTCCAAGTTTTAATCCTTTCTCTAGTACGCGAAATTTAAAATAACCTAGAAGTGTTGTTTTAAATTGTGATGTTTTTTGAAATATCAACGTTGTAAACATGTATATCCCGAGATTTTTAATGTTCGCGTAAATTCAGAATTTGGTAATTATGGAGAACAGGTACATCCTCACCGAGTCGTCAATCGTCAACTGTTTACGCGATTGTTTAGGCTCAGAAAAAATCCAGTTTGACACGGACGTCGTTGATTACTTTCAATGGACTAAAAATGAACTTGCCTGAATATTTGACTATGTGCGGTAGGTATGATGCACTAATTTATTTTTTAATTATTTAATTCGAACAAAGAGTGCAAATATCTCGGAAGTTAAGCTCTCGAGCGACGGTTATATGTATAGGAAAAAGTTGTTAAAAATGTTGATTTATACAAGATATTTAAAAATCATTGAAATCGGTGAGGATGTACCTGTTCTCTATAATTACCCAGAATTTCAAATGACGTCGATTAACGAGTGCGTTAATATCAGTGAAATTCCCTCGAAGATCCATCGATATAATAATGCAATTTTAAAGCTAATACGAAAGAAACTCCCTCGAGGCCCTGACCGAAACAGTTTTATTCCACAGGTATGTTCGATTTACTTCCATGCGAGGAGTCAGCCACCCTTACGATCGCGTCACGTATTCCCCTTAAGCTTCTCTTCCTGTACAAGCCACGAGTGCAAACTCGAACTGTAACCACAATGCGCAAAAATTCAGTGAACGCGAGCCTCGACGTTTAGCTAAGTGCACCAACGGCCATTATCGGCGTTAATAATACAGTTCGCCACTCGTGCACCCGGGACCATTACTCGACAACGACTCTGCCTTTATTTTCTCGCCACTGCGTGACCCCTTAAACCCCCGGCCCGTTTTTCCTCCCGGTTCTCGTCGTATTTTAACGGTTTCGCGAACGAGCACCGCGGCTACCTCCCGTTTTACGATCCTCATTATTCTCGCACCTCCGTTTCCATCCGTCGCCACCGAATCGCGGACGCTCCGGGATTCCCAGCGACGAACGCTACCTTCAAATCTAGGAAGACTGGACGAAACTACATATAAAGAGTTGTCTGGCGATAAACCGTGGCGAAGCATATTTTTATCGACATTGTTCGAGTCAAGTAATGGTGTCCGTACTCGGTCTACGCATGAGAATAATGTCTAGCAACGAAAATCTCGTAGCGCATATCGGAGAGAGCACGTGTATTAACGAAGGCACGATATAGAGGGCCGCCATCACGGTTGAACTGGCCTGAACTCGGGTTGGTGGACAATGCATTGAACGACGATGCGAGAAACCTGTTTGGAGCGAAAGACGAAGGGAGAGTTAAGAGAAAATGGGTGGGTGGAATGGATTCCCCTTTGTCGACGTTATATTCCACGAGCACAACGCTCTTCGCTTCGAATGAGACGAACCAGCGAAATTGTTAATGGTATGCAAATGAACAAGGAACGATAGACGCAGAAACAAATGAAAGAAACAACGAAGATGTCAAGACAGTAGATCGCTAGAGAAGAGGAGCTGAAATGTTGGATTGTCCGGAAATTTCATGGCTATTTTTAAGAAAAATTCAAAGGCATATTTGAATATTCATGCATATTTATTGAATTATATATATATATGTACCATTTTGTTCCACAACTTTTCTACATTTTAAAGAATGTATATATGCTATTTGTTTTCAACCATTCCGACATATTCAGACCCGTACCGTCTATTAAAAATCGGCATGGACTTTCCAGACAGCCCAATAATTAGAACCAACTGGCGGGGAATCCCCAAGAAACAAATGCGTGCGTGAAATCAGGAAAAACTAGGTCGATGGGAGAGCGTTGCGAAGGAAAACATGGACGAAGATAGAGGAAAGTAGAAGTTGGAGAAACCAGGCGGAGACGGAAGCTGCAGGCAACGAGACGAGGAGCGCGAAAGAAGTTGGAGGAAGAGGAAGTTCTACATTGCTCTGGATTGTACATCACGCGCTGGAAACTTGGTGTAGCGGCCCACCGATTCCGTTAGAAGTTTGTGGCTCACTGCCAGCTTCCACGATGAACCTTAACCGCATCCATGAAAGGGAGTTACGGATTATCTCTCGAGTTCTCTCACTTTCTCGACGGTATCGTTATGAAAACCAGCGGCCTCCTATACGTGTCGTCGCGGGAAACTTTAATGCGTAGCTAGTGGAAGCGTTACCTTGCTAACTGGCAGCGAGTCGGGGCTGTTTCTGGTCAGTTATCGAGGGACGGTGGCTGTTTCTGTTTTTTTAGGGACATAGCCTGTCTAAGCCAAGAAAACTGAAGTGTGTCGAAAGTGGGGGCGATCTTCATAAAACTTTTCTTCTTGTCAAACTTTTACCATCGTATTCCTGACATTTTTCCGATTAAAATGAGACCTTTATTTAGTTATTTACTTATTTATTTATTTGTTGCAATATATACGGGCATAGCCCATTATGAAATTAATACAGTGTAGCAATTATAAACATCCACAGTCGACAGACGTCAAGACAACCAAAAATTTACAAACAAGCAAACAATCATAACAAAGTTATCGCCGGTGAACAGCAGAATTGCAACATATTCGCTACATGTTGTCTCACCGACGTAGCCTGATGTTTTCGCTCTGTCCTCTTTTTTATTCGCTGTCCTCTACGTTCCAAGTTCGCCGGCAAACAAAATATACGACATAAGAATATACGAAATATACGAAATATACGAAATATACGAACTCTACGATAAACGCACAAGTTCAGTCCCGGAGCTCGTGCATTTAAGGCGACTTCACTGCGACATGCGCGTCTATTCTCCGCTACGATCTTTCTCCATCTTTCGAGCAAATTCGTGATCTCGATATTAGTAAAAGCCTCGTCGTGTTATAGCAACGACTGTATAAGCGAAAGAAGAATCGGGACCGAGACGTTACAGTTACCCAGTCGAGGTTTCTATTCTGTGTTTGTTTAGCGAAAGCGAAAGAGGTCCGAGGAAAAGAAATCAGTGGGACAATAACGATACAATAACGATACACTGCTCGCTCGCGGGGAGTCACGGGTCGACTTTAACCAACTCAATAACTCGTAGTAGTCATTACTGCGAGGGGACAACCTAATAGATACAAGATTTGTAGAGAACTCGTAGAGAATTTGTAGAGGTAGATGGAAGAAGACACCGTGGAAGTTGTTGATAAGTGAAAACTCAATGGCGGATAAGCAAAGACGGAGGCGGCGGTCACCGTCACAGGACGAAGACCATAGAAATCGCAAAGAGTGGTGGGGGTGGGAGAGGAGGGGAGGGGAGGAGAGGGAGATGGAGAGGAGAGGGGAGGGGATACTAAACGGGGAACAGCTGAAAGATACAAGCGATAGATGAGAAAAAAAATTGAGATAGCAGAAGCAGAATAAGGAGATAAAGGAGAAGAAGAATAGGTGGGAAAGCGGAAGAGGAGGAGAGCAGAAGGATGGCACTTTCGTTGGATGACAGAGGCGTATCGCGGCGGGGAGACCAACGACTGGCGTTGGGACGCTTGGCGTCTTATCGTGGATCCCCCCTTCGCCCCCTTCCTGCAGCTATTCCGCGCCACCTTCCCTCCCCCCGACCCTGCCCTGTTCCGCGCAGTTCTCGTCGTTGAGCCAAAACCCAGTGACGCCTGGACGCGCTCACCCAGAAACCGACGATAAGGTTCACCCAGCAACGCCTGCCTGCCACTCTCTCCTCGGTCTCACATATACACGCATCCCGGGCGTCTCGTACACGCACCTAGAGATATTTATATAAGAAAACTGACGAAGGTCTTCGTCGACGACCCTCGGGGAAAAAAAAAAAAAAAAAAATACGAACGATAGAGTCGGTAAAAACTCGAGACGTTACGGATCGATCGCTGAAAGCAGTCTCGCGGCGATTTCGTCGGTGTTCTCCACGCTGCTGGACAGAATTCCGAGGAAATATAATCGTCGAACGGTACGGCCATGGAACGGCAACGATATTTACGAAGATGTTTAACGTAACGATGTACGAAACCCGTTTGTTTTTCAGTGGCAGAGCTCGAGGGCGGCGCGCACTCGGATGAAACGAACAGCGGCGGGGACAACAGCAACGCCGGAAGTGTGTCTGGCGGCACGGACGACGATCAAGCGCGTCTCCGTTTGAAGAGGAAGCTTCAAAGGAATCGCACGAGCTTCAGTAACGAGCAGATCGACGCTCTCGAGAAGGAATTCGAGAGGACCCATTACCCGGATGTTTTCGCCAGGGAGAGACTGGCCGGAAAGATCGGCCTACCGGAAGCGCGAATACAGGTGACTATATTTTCGCCGTGCAATGTTAGCCGCGAATACGAATGGATCGCGGCGTGAACGATCGGTTTATATCGACGATCGTGGTTCAAATTTCACTGATTCAGATTAGATATTATTTAGACTATTGGGAACTGTATGTAATCAAACATTTGTCGTGGTATTCGTTTTTGCAACTTCGTCGAGATTCATGAATTTCGTTTAAATTGTTTCGATGCTTAAGTTTCAGAATTAATTTGTCTAGTTCCTCGCATGGAAAGCACTGCCTAAATGGATTAATTCCGAAGCTGACGCGTCGAAGAAAATAAATCCGAATCGAATTGGTGAATTGTAAAGGTGTTGCAAAAATAAGTACTATTACAAATATCGAATTAAATCATTTCTGAATGTATATAAATAAAATGTTGGCCTCGTAGGAATTTTCACGATTATTAGTCTGCCAGTGAACGCGTTAATATACACTGCGTATCAGAATTATACGAACACTTGGATTTTTTAAGTTTCGTTATTCTGAAAATTATTCCACGATATTCAACGTGCCAAACAACTACCGGACGCCTATTATATCTCGATATGAGAAGAAGTAACGTTACTGTAGCTAAAAGTCGAATTTTATACCGTCTCAAAAATATACGAAACTAACTGAAACAAGAATTCTATTGAATTTCATATCGACTTCATTTCATCGCTCGGATCTTACCTTGTATATTAGGTTGTCCCGAAAGTTTCTTTCGCGAGTTGCGCTCAATTATTTTATGCGATCGTGTTTATGTAAATAGACAATCTAATTTCATAGACATTCATATTGTAGCAGTAATGGAGCAAAATGAATCGTGCGGAATTCAGTAACGTAACGTAAAACATAAACTGTTGTGCATGTATGAATTATTAATAAAGCGAAAGAAACTTTCAAAACATAGATTCGTGTAACTTTCAATTTTTCTTCTGCATCTATAAAATTATTGATTTGCGTAAACATAGGCAGTCGAATCGTCAGCGAAATAACATTTTACACGCGGAAGATCCTCGATTGTTGACCGAATAGGCAGAACCTGTAGCCTAGCGATTGACCTGTATCTTCGTCTGTCTTCTCGTTCACTAACTCAGGTCTGGTTTTCGAATCGGCGGGCGAAGTGGCGGCGCGAAGAGAAATTGCGCACGCAACGGAGGGACAACCCGCAGCACCAGCAGCAACCGCAATCGCAGCAACAGCAACAACAATCTCAGCAGCAGCAACAACATGCTGGCGGGGTCAGCCTTGTCGGTGCGGGTCATCCGACGCCGCCGCCAGCCTCGGGGATACTTGGCGGTCAACCGCCCCCGCAAGCACCGCCATCGCCGCCTAGGATACACCATGGCTTCGCGCCTACTGCCGTTTATCCCGGAATACCCAGCATGCCTGATTCCTACAGGTGAGTACAACCTGAAAAATCACACTAGGATTAGTGCTGTCGGAAAGCTCGAAAAAAACAAAAAGCTCCGCTGGAATCATCGAGCTGAGTACTCGAAATAACCGGACGCCTCGGGAAAAGCTCCAACTGCAGCCCAGTGAAGTTGGCACCTCCAAATGCAAATTTTGATTAAAATCAAATTGCATTCGTTTGTCCACGTTTGTCCAACCAAAATTTTCATTTGTCCTCCACCCCAAAAGAAATTAAAAAAAAGAAAAAAATATTATAAAAGTATATATGCGAGTCAATGAACCCAAAAACAGTATCGCCATCTAGCGGCGGGGTCCGAACTAATTTTTCATATATATTCATGTCTTTTATTTTTTTTCTGCATATTCATGCAATTCTACATAGTAACTATCGTAATTCAACATTTAATTGTTGATTCGCACCCTAAAAATTAACTAATATTAAGTTTTTTAAATAAATAAATATATTGCAAAATGTGGCGCCATCCTCGGAGACTCCCGCAAGTTTGTCGTGCAATACTTCTCACATCACACCGCTAGATGGCGCGTTCAACATGAAAATATTCAAAACATAAATTCTGTGGTTCTCTCTGCATATAAATGTAATATTACATTCAAACTACCTTAATTCAACTAATAATTGTCGGTTGGTACATTAATAATTATGTAATGTCGAGTTTTTGAAATAAATAGAGATACCGAAAAATATGCTGCTATCTAGCGGCGCTCAGGGGAACCTATTTCGTGACAAACTTGAGAGGTTCGCCGAGAGATGGCGGTATTTCTTTTAATTTAGGGAATTTGATATAGGTCTATTATTAGTGTACAAATCAACAATTAAATGTTGAATAATGATAATTACGATGTAAAATTACATTTATAATGAGAGGAAACTAAAGAATTTATGTTTTGAATAATTTCATGTTGGTCGCGCCATCTAGCGGCGTGCTGTGAGAACTATTGCACGACAAACT